CTGTTTTCCAACTATAAAGGACGTAACTGACAAATTACATTAATATATATATATATATATATATACTTGGAATCCCATGGATTTAGAAAAAAAATGATGAATGCATCCTATTTAGAATGAAGGCTTTCCAGAATAGTATTACAGTCGTATTTCATGGACTATCATCTTACACTGTTTTTTTAGAATACCAACAAATACATGTTCAGCAGTCTTCTGGTAGATGTACAAAATTACTTTTTTCTTAATTATTTCACAGACTTTGCAGACAGTTTTTCTTGTTTGCATAAATTAAAGAATTCAGCAAGGCCTACACGCTTGAGTTGTATGTAGTACTAAGAAGCTTATCTCTGTGGCATTATATTTGTCTAATTTTACTTCAAAAAAAATTCTGAGACAATTTTTCAAGAACAAGAACTGTCTTATAGAGTCAATGAAATTACTGCTGAAAGAAAAAGATGATTTTTTTCATAATTGGATACTGAAAACATGACTTTGTAAAACCAAATATACTTGAAAGTAATTCCTTAAGCTAAGAAGTTATCTATTATTCTAAGCTTTTGCCTGGAAAAACTCTTAACATTAGTTGTTCTATGTGATCTCTGCTGGAGCAAGTTGAAAATTATTACTGTTTCAGATGAGTATATTAGATTTTGAGTATGGCATTGAGACCCTAAGAATTTAGCAAAGTTGAATATTCAATGTAAAATAAAAAAAATCTTTAAAATGTGTGAATGAATATCAACTCTATACTTTTGGTTGATTCTCAAAGCTTTCTGCTTGGAGATGTAGTTAATGTGCCATTACCCACTGCTGTTTGCCAGTATAGGGCTCTTTTTAATTGCATTTCCTGTTCTAACTTCATGTTTTTCTTTGCCATTTGTAATTTATGAGATGTTGTTTTCTGTAGGTATATCCCAGAACAGCTGTAAAACACAGCGGTAAAACACAAATTTTGGCATCATCAATCAAGTTATCCTTTTTGCATAGTAATGGCAGTTTTAACAATATCTGAGAAATTGTTTTGACTCATTACTCCTGTGAATGCAAAATAACCATATAACTAAGATACAGGTAATTGTGCTGAAGATTAGAGCTTTGATTCTCATCAGCTCTCAAGAAACTGGATGTGACTGTTATGATCTTCTGATGAAAAAAATCTTAAGCTGCAGGTATTGTTTTGTCTGATCTTAACTGCTTAACTGGGAATTATCAGACGCCTTTCAGAGTAATATCAGTTATTGAACAGGACATCAATATTGAGCAGTGCATCAAAATTGTAACTCTTTGCTACCAAGAAACCCTGTTTAATAGGATACTGTTTCAAGCCCGGGATGATGTTTTAGTAGAAGAAAGAATGAGCCAGTAGAGTGGAAATGGACAATCGCCTCACAAGGATCATAGAATCACAGAATCATAAAATTGCTCAAGTTGGAGAAAACCTTCAAGATCATCAAGTCCAACCTCAACCTAACCGTAATACACGAACAACCCACAGATGTTCTGCACTGACATTTTGCTGCTTCCTGGTGGCTCCCACAGCCCACAGTGACACCAGGATGATGCTGTCCATGCTTTTTAATGGAAGCAGTATTTAAGACCTACACCAGCTGGTTTCCAGCTGCTTGTCAAGGCTTGATATATTGAGAGGTTATCTTTTTTAGAACTGCTACAAAGGATTGAATTTCCAATAAATTAGATCATTTCGCTCATTTCATATTTTACTGCACCTTAAGTATTCTAATTATCCTTTTCTGCTAATAGAATTGGTCACTCTTCTTGTTTTTATGCTATTTCACCTTACTGACTCTTTATTACTTTTGACTGAATGATCTTAGAGTTCTTAGAGTTCTTTTCCAACATTCTACAATTCTACAATTCTACAATTTTTCACAAACTTTGATGAAATACCCAGTATTTTTGGATTGTGTTTGTGAGGATTTTTATTTGTTTGTTGGTAGATTGGTTTGGTTTTGTGTGGTTTTTTTTTGGTTTTTTGTTTTTTTGGTTTTTTAAACAGGTGTATGTAGAGGTGGTAGTTTAGTAAGCAATAGAGAGAAGTAATGATCAGATACCATAGGAACTTTTTTTTTCTTTCTCTCATGGCTCTGTGTGCATGTATCCACTATTTCTTCATCTTCAGCTGAATCAGTACTATATTAAAGTCTTTCATTCCTCGTGTAATCTGATGTGTCATAGGCAGCAGGTGGCTCTTTTTTTTTCCCCCAAGAAAATAAGTTAATTGGAATACACTTATGACTAATGTGTCAGTTTTTCAAATATAACCCTTGGGGAAGATAAGATCCATAGATTTCAATCAAGAAGAAAAGCTTCACTTTCTTAATGCTTATATTACACACTGTTAAAAATGCATGAAGAGATTCTGATTAAAACCTGCTTCTCTTACTCTGTCCCATTTATGCAAAAATTACTAGCAATAAAAATACTTCTTATGAAGGATTCTTAATATTTCTTTTTTATGCCCTCTGTAAGTGTAGGTAGTTTTGTTGTACTACCTGAGAATACAATAAATATCCTTAATTTACTCTATGTGTTCCTTTATTCTTTTATTTATTGTTTCTTTTTAATTATATATAGAGTGGTAATAATAGCCAAAAAAAAAAAAAAAAAAAAAAAAAAAGAAAGAAAGAAAGAAAGAAACAACAGAACATCCACAAACTAATAAGTGCTATCTGAACAGGTGAAAGCCAGATTCCTTTTTTCCTTTGTACCATGAAGATGATAGCATATTCGAAGCCAATATGAAAATTAAAGTCACTCTTTAAAATCTTTTCAGCAGATTTGGTGGAAAGATTCCTACAAACATTGTGTCTGGATCCTGCAAGTTGAGTTCTTTGTAAATTAGTCTTTTGGATCAGTCCAGGGGTGATATAGACATCTTTATGCAGTTCTCATTCTTCTTCAAAAGCCTGGCTAAGATACCAGATAAGATTAAAGCAGAGCTCAGTGACCTAACCCACCTGTCCTCTGTCTCTGCAGAGGGGCATTAAGGTCACTGTCATTGTCATAACATATTAATTCAGCCAAGGTATTGCAGTGTTTTTGACAGTGACCATTGTTCATGCACCACAGAGTGGAAGGACATGAGTAATCCCAGTTAGAAAAACGTGAAGAAGCCTGCTCACAAGGACATAGTGTTTCTCGTCTCTTTTTGGTAAGAAGTTGAAAAGTGTGATACAGTTCTTCGAATTTAATTTTTATAAGTGTTCTAACGGTCTGTCTGTAGTCCGACCTTTGTTAACAAATCACTCTAAGCTTTACATTTACATTTTCTTTTTTTTACTTGCAGATAGCATATTATTTGTTGTGTAAATTGATTTGTGAAAATTCAAGCAGAGTCATGCATCAGCTGGTTCATGAAGTATGCCTTAAATTTTTGCATAAATTCAGTGGCAAGGCAAATAAATTTGCAGAGAATACCTATGTATTTAAAATATTTACAATATATTGTACTTTCTTTGCTGAGAGATGTTATCTTTTTTAGAATTGCTGCAAAGGAGTGAATTTATTTTCAATAAACCTGGTCGTTTTTCTCATTTTATATTTTACTGCAACTTATATATTCTAATTATACTTTTCTGCTAATACAAGTGGATTCTTTCCTTGTTTTTATGCTATTTCATCATACTTACTTTTTATTACTTCTGAACAAACTATAGCACAAGCAGTTTGCCATCTGTTATGATATTTTTCTTAGAAAAACATTTTTTTCTTACAATTTCCTAATTGCTCTTACTTTCTGCTAGGGAACTTTCATTATGCTGTATATCCTCTTCAAGCCTTGAAACTGTGAAAAAAACTCAGTTTGATTCTCCTTTCCTCCCACTCTTCCTTCTTGTTTCCCTTCATTCCTCTTTTTGTACATGTGTGTAGAAACTGCACTCCCTTTTTAGCTATTCATCTTACGTTTGCCATGTTTCTGGCCTTCTTGACAACTTCCAATAGGGAACAGAACAAGCTTAACGGATGGGGATATCAAATTCTTATTCATTCTGTATTTATCAGGCTTTGAATTATATTAGAATCTGACCTGTGGTGATTTCAAACAAGCAAACAAAATGCATTTCTAAGAAAAAAGACAAAAAGTGTGAAGGGCAGATGTAGTCTTTTCATTTACTGCGGTCCTTTTACTGGGGTCTCCACTGCAACAAAGGATATATTGCAGTGCAGAGATACCAAGGTGTTCAGGTGTTTTTTTCCATATATATATATTTTTAAATGATGTATATATATCAGTTATTCAAATGTGATAGCGTAAAAAATGAGTATTTTGTTAGTAATCACAGAAGAAGTTTATACAATCCGTCATGATCCTCTAAGCATAATTCTCATAAAATGATTAATGTTCCCTCTTAGGGGCACAAATTCACACCTGTTTGTTCATTTTTCATGGTAGCATTAAGCACATTGTCTCTTCATGCTTTTAGGCTAAATTCTTTCCCAAAATAACACAAGACTGCAGCCCATAAACACGAGAACTGAGGCCTTACACAGCATTGTCATTGACTAGTGCCTTCAGTATTACTCTACACAAGACCTGTAATCTCTCTTCTGTTGAAAGTTAGTGAGTTAAACTTAGAAACTATGAATCTTAGGAATCTTAGTGATGTTTAGACTGGGAGACCATTGTATTGCACAGCCCTCCTTTGGGGCATTTCTAATTGTAAATGACGAAGTTGTATTTAGCAGACATAAATTAATGTGTTTGGAAACCAGATTCAGACATGAAAAGCAGCTTTCATGACTAATTTAGAGCTGTTCTCAATTTACCAGAAGCTTACAAATGATAGAGAATGAGAAAATTTGTCATTTTTCCTGTTGATTATCTGCTGCTGAGAATTAATGTCGGTTTTACTAGATTTTTACTGTACATTCCAGCAGATCCTGTTATGCTCTTAGATGCTAGTGAACTATGTGCTAACTCGCATGTCTGTTGTGCAAAATATAATTTATTATCCCCATTTTACAGATGGGAAAATTAAGGCATGGTGAGCTGAAAACAGATTTTCTCCTCAGCATCAACAGTGGAGCCTAGAACCTCTCAAGTCACATCAGTACTTTCACCTTGACATACAGCAATGGGTATGGCACATTACTGTCACTGAGAACACAGCTGTGAATATCTGGTTTCAGCTGGCAATGCAGCTGAGCATCCCTGCACTCACAAGTTTGCTGCCTTGAAATATCACCCAAAGGCACTGGAAGTTGTTCATAGTTATTGTTGAGAAACTGAACAAAGGGTACTGATATTTTAATAAATGGTTGTGGAAACATTCAGATCTACCAAACGTTTTTGAGACTTCCTACAAAACATTTAAATTTGTTTTTCTTCTGAGTACTTGCCACTATGATTAGCAAACACTTCATCATTTAAAGTTGATCAATGTGGCATTCTCTTCCTTGTGCATGCCACAGACTGGGGCTTTAATGCATTTCCATGGAGGAAAAGCTCCAGTGAATAAACCGTATTCCAGTGTGCAAACACTAGGTGGCATGAATCATTTTATGGGCATTTCATCATTTCAGCTTGTTCCATCTGTCCACTGAGCTAATTACAAATTCAGCCACAAACACATTTTAGATCTATATCATAAAATGTTAGCTGGAAGTGATTTGTATCAATGTGTACAGTATGTTCTTTATTCTGTGCACTATGCAGCTGTTAGATTTACTGATTGTTCCAGGCTCAAAATGGGATGAAACAGTGATTTTTCTGTCTGTTTATGGTGACGTGTGCCATGTTTTGTATGATCATACACAGATACAAATCTGAGGAACTGTTTGAAAGACAGAACTGAAAAAAGAAATGCCATTAATATTGCCTTGGAAACATACAAAGCCTAGATAAATCTTATAATATCTAATAATCTAATAATAAACATAACTAAAAATCTTGTATATACTATCCCCTATATTTTCAGAAATATTTTAATTGTCTCTAACTGTGTAAACTAAGTAAATTAAAAACATATTGTGATTTTTTTCCCCCAATTAAAGGATTACAGTGTTTAGTGAAGTATTAATACAGAGGTACTGCTTGTAATTTGACTGAGATATAGATACACAACCTTTGTTTCTTCCTCAGTAATCATTCCCCTTCTTCCTCCCCTCCTCCCACCTCCTTTCCCCCCCCCCCCCAGCCTTTCCACATCTCCCACTTTTTTTTTTAATCTGATACCTGCTTCATGGAAACTTAGAAGCAGTTCTTTGAATAGGGCTCTTAAGTCACATCTTCAGTTCCTAACACTCAGATAGTTTCCCTCAACAATAGATAGAAGAATTAATTTAATCAATTCCTTCCATCCATTTGTCTGAGACCAGTATGAGTGTCTCAAATCAGCATGAGGCCATCAACATCACTTTGTGGTCAATTTTACATTTGAAAGCATTTCTTTGGAACTGTTTGCCTTAGAAAGGGAGTGCTCAGGAGTGTTAATTCTCTGAAGATTTGGCCTCTGAACAAGTAAGTCCAGTTTGATAGGAGAGACTGAGAGGTGATACCATTATATCCTGTGAAGACATGATACAAACTGGAGTCTCCTTGCTTCCCCTTACCTGCTGACTTAAATTTGTAACGCCTGTTGGTTCATTATATTGTTATCTAATTGTGCAATAGACACATCACATTATAATAAACTAACCTTTCTGTTGGAAGGAAAAAAAAGTACTTATTTGACTCATCATATTTGAATGCGCTACTTTGCCTAGGAGAAGAATCGCAAATGTTAAGAGATTTTCATATCAATGGGAAGTTTTCTCTTAGGAATCTCTGAAATTCTTTTATTTGGTCTTATTTATTATAATTTGAAGTAAGCTCTATGTCTGCTCCCATCCATTTAACTTTGATCTTACACGTTTATCTGAAATTATGTTGCAAAATGTGATGTAAAGTCAGGAACAAACATTAAGCTAATATGAAATGCATTTAGAGGTATATTGGTAAGTTTTTAGTTTAATTTGTGAGTCTACGTCATTGTATCTTCAAACATTTAAGGTATTGAAATGAAGGGAAAACACAATAATGGATGACTAACAGAAGACAATAATGAAACAGATTAAGTTGAGGTTTCATGGATATTCATAAGTTGATATTTGTATTAATAAGCTACTTGGAAAAATATATACATCCAGAGAAGTCAGAAATGACTTGCTAATCTCAGAACTGACTTATTAATTATACGTAAATAAAATCTAAGAGTTATGTTTTACGTTGCATGGTATTCACACTGAATAGTTTGACTAATCTGAAAATAAACACTGATTTTTAGGAAGTTTTGGTAGAGATTTACATAAGGAAAAAAATAGTTAGAAAGAGTGGATGAATTTCTTGCATATTGAAGAAGGTCTCTGTGGAGACCTCATTGCGGCCTTCCGGTACTTGAAGGGAGCATATAAACAGGAAGGGGAATGGCTAGTGATAGGACAAAGGGAAATGGTTTTAAACTGAGACAGGGGAGGTTTAGGTTAGATATTGGGAGGAAGTTTTTTACACAAAGGGTGGTGACACACTGGAGTAGGTTGCCTAAAGAGATTGTGGATGCCCCATGCCTGGAGGCATTCAAGGCCCGGCTGGATGTGGCTCTGGGCAGCCTGGTCTGATGGTTGGAGACCCTGCACATAGAAGGGGGGTTGAAACTAGATGATCATTATGGTCCTTTTCAACCCAGGCCATTCTATGATACTAAGAAAAATTTTCTGGTTAAATGCCATACTCATATCCACCCTGGGCCCTATATCACAATCATAGTAATAAAATATTTTATCTGATGTCTTTTTTGCACTAGTCTCATTAATACTAAATATTTACAATTCAATCTGCAATTTATAGCTGGCATTATAGCTCCACACTGGCAGCAGTTTTAAAAAAACATTTAATGAACTATTCCATTTAGCAGCTTATGCACCATTTGGAAATAATGTAACATAATTGTTGGCAAATTATTCCACATTCTATGATATTTCTTCATTCCAGAGGAACACCTGATAGTTATTACTGTAATCAGTTTAATAAACATACATGATATCTGAAATTACACAGCAGCTTACAGTGTTACACACAACAGAGGATTCTAGTTTTGAGATACTTATTCTGATACACTAGTAAATGGTATTCTGATTCATCTTTACCATTATTTTTCTTGAGAAAACATGGACCATATTTTTATTTTATAAAGAGATAAAGGCCAGAGGTCCAGCTGAGCTATATGTTTAAAATGATACTCAGTAATGTTGAAGTCTAGATTGTCTAGACGGTCATAGATTTGTATGCAGAACCTTCAGCTCTGCAAAATTTAGAGACATTATTAATAGAGCAATTATAGTAATAAGTGTTCTGCAGAAGGAAAAAACACTTTCTCAAGTCCTGAATTTCATTAGATCATTCACTTTTAATCATTTCTTTTCTAGGGCTGCAGCATGGGTTGAAAAATATGAATGAACAAAGAACCATATGCAGTAACCCAAAGGCACTGAGTCACCTGCCATCTTCCTTGCTGTTGGGAACCGTCATGTTTAAAGTCTGGAAAATCACCCAGTTCTCAGAATTTACTAATTGACAGAGCACTTAACTACCCATCCAATGGAAAAAGAAAAAAAATTAAAAAAAGAGAGAAAAAGGAATCTGAAGACAACCTAGAAAATGTGAGTGCAAATCAGCTGCAGCCTACCTTTAGTTTACTGGAAGCAGAAATTACAATGTGTTTGCAGTATCAGTTCTGCAGTATTCTGAGCTTTTGCAGCTGCAAATTACTTTTGCCCTGAAACAATTTCGAAATGCAGTATTTATTTTGGAAAAGACCAAATCAGTGCAGAAGTCTGTGGCCTGCTTGGAAAAGGAGTTGTGAGGCTACAGACAATTTTTGCACCACTTTGATGAAGGAAGGAGTCTTGAAATGTAGAATATTAATGAAAAACAGAATCAGAGATTTTTGAAAAGTAAATGGGTTTAATTTAGACATTCTCACACATATAAAAGTTAGGATTTTTTCACATCTGAAAGATATTTTGCCACTGGCTCTTTTTAATGAGTCATGTTGAATATTTAATGATGTTTCTTAAAAATGTCCACATTAACTAAACATGACCCCTTGTCTAGTTCAAAAAAAAAGAGAGAACACTTCCGTTAATGACCCGGTGCCTGGGGAATCCTCTTTTCTTTATAGTACAGAACAAGTAAGCACATTTATAGATCTAGTGGGAGATAATAAAAAGTGCCTGATTTGCACTAGAAGTCAACAGGAGCCTCTTTGGACCTTTAAAAAGCTCCCATTTTGTCAAGTAATGGGAGTGTGCATGGGTTATGTCATAAAGTTAAGTGAAAAGATAAAGCCATTTGGGAAAGGAAAAAAAAAGCTATACTGCAACCTTAATAGGCAAATTTTTACTTAGCTGAATTACTTTCTGCATTTATAAACTGGCCCATCATAGAATCATAGAATTGCTCAGATTGGAAAAGACTTTAAGACCATCAAGTCCAACTGTAACCTAACCATACTACCCTAACTCTAACAAACCTTTGCTAAATCATGTCCCTAAGCACCACATCCAAACGGTTTATAAACACGTTCAGGGATGGTAACTCAACCATCTCCCTGGGGAACCTATTCCAGTGCTTAACCAATTTCTGTAAAGAAGCTTTTCCCTAAATCCAATCTAAACTCTAATGGGATGAAGTTCAACAAGGCCAAATGCCTGGTCCTGCACTTCGGCCACAGCAACCCCAGGCGACGCTACAGGCTTGGGGCAGTGTGGCTGGAGGACTGCGTAGAGGAAATGGACCTGGGGGTATTGATTGATGCTCGGCTGAACATGAGCCGACAGTGTGCCCAGGTGGCTAAGAAGGCCAATGGCATCCTGGCTTGCATCAGAAACAGTGTTGCAAGTAGGAGCAGAGAGGTGATTGTTCCCTTGGATGGATTGGATCAAATGGATCAAATCCATCAGCACTAGTGAAGCCGCACCTCGAGTACTGTGTCCAGTTTTGGGCCCCTCACTGCAAGAAAGATACTGAGGCCCTGGAACGTGTTCAAAGGAGGGCAACAAAGCTGGTGAGGGGTCTGGAACACAGGCCATATGAGGAGAGGCTGAAGGAGCTGGGAATGTTCAGCCTGGAGAAGAGGAGGCTCAGGGGAGACCTCATTGCTCTCTATAACTTCCTGAAGGGAGGCTGTAGTGAGCTGGGGGTCGGCCTCTTCTCTTGTGTCATTAGTGATAGGACCAGGGGGAATGGCTTCAAGCTACGGCAGGGGAGATTCAGGCTGGACATTAGGAAGTATTACTTTTCAGAAAGGGTGGTCAGGCACTGGAAATGGACTGCCCAGGGAGGTGGTGGAGTCACCGAGCCTGGGGGTGTTCAAGGAAAGGCTGGATGTTGTGTTGAGGGACGTGGTTTAGTGGGAGCTATTGGGAATAGGTGAACGGTTCTACTGGGTGATCTTTTAGGTCTTTTCCAACCTTGGTGATTCTATGATTCTATGATTCTATGATTCTAAACCTCCCCTTGGCACAACTCAAGGCCTTTTCCCTTTGTCCTGTCACCTGTCATGAGTGAGAAGCCCTTCACAAGCCTTGTTGCCATTCTTTGGACCTTCTCCAGCAACTCCATGTCCTTTCTGTACAGAGGTGCCCAAAATAGAACACAGTACATGAGATGAGGCATTACCAGTGCCGAATATGGGGGCAGGATTGCTTTCCTAGTCCTGCTCACCACACCATTCCTGATACAAGCCAGGATGCCATTGGCCTACTTGGTCACCTGGGCACGCTGCTGGCTCATATAATCATTTGTCAACAAGTTAATTTAAAATTAGTCTGTTTTTATTCTTAGAGGGTAGGTGCCACATTTGATTGCTATTGGCTTTCATAGTAGACTTCATAGCAGGTCTGCTGTTCGTGCAGAGAGAAAACTGGTGCACTGAATGGAGAGAGCTATTAACACGATGCTCTGCATCTACCAACAGCCTTTCATGAAGCACTGTTCCTCTTTCTCCATTTTAGATGTTGAAGAGAGCCAAGCTAGATGCCTCCTTGCATTTTTGCTAATGTGTATTGCCTCTAGAAAGGTAAGCATCTCCAGGGACATTAGGGCCTGCTGGTGAGTTCTATCACTCTTTATAGAAACCTGTCACTCTGCTTTGATGACAGAGGACTTTGTTGTGGCAATGGCTATGGGGATCATGTGGAATATCTGTAGGACTGCAATTCCACTCCTGAATGATGACAGAGGAAGGTAGGAAATAATGACTGACTCAATTTCCTCAGTAAATTCTGTTTTTTGTATTTTCAGGTAAAAGCAAGAGTTTAATGGAAACTGAACTTTAAAGGAATAGTGTAATTCCTCTGCTTCCTGCTAAAAAGTGTTGATTAAAATTAATGTTATTGCTTGGAAGAAACAGTGGGAAAATTAACAACGTTTTCTCTATTTCCAAAGTATACATGCTTTCTTCTCTATCACTTCAGAATGTTGATGTTTTTAACACACATTGCATGAAAAGGTTTTTAAGACAGTTACATGCAAATCGTTGCAAATTCCCTTTCCTTGTGCTATATTTTTAAATCTCATTCTTCAATGTTAATATCTTTTGAGAGAGAAAATCCAGTGTAATTTCCTATAAAAAGATCACAAGCACAAATTTAATCAAGAGCATTTGAACTATCTTGTAATAGCTTTGTTGATGAAGGGCAGAAACATACATAAAACAATCCAGGCATTTCTCTTCATCTTTGCTAACCTGATAAGGTCTATAAACACACTAATGCACAAGTTCAACGGTCTCTCTGGGCTACAGCACACCGAATGGTAATTTAGCCAGACAAAATCCTTTCTTTAAGAGATACATAAAATGTTTTCAATTTTTTTTTTTCCATCCAAAGAACAGATGTTTTTAGGCTGGAACAGAATGTTGAGTTTCATTAGAGACACAAAAATAACTAAACTGTTTCAAGGAAGTAATTCTTAGCCAAATTGCCCGTATCTCTTGTCTTGGCAATGAGACATTTGGGGGTATATCTTCAAAAGCATCTTCAAAAAAAAAAAAGAAAAAAATCATTGCAAGGGCATGTTTTTCATTTTGTCAGGTCAATTACTCCCTTTCTAATAGTTCATTATTAGTCAATTACTGGTCCACTTTTCTGACCAAAAGGGATTGGGCTGAAAACTTTGTGAAGGCAATTTCCTCTAAATGAGAAGAAAATCTTCAGAGAAATGAGCAAGTACTTGTTACGTTTTTGTGTCCATGAAATTTCAAAGCCAGTTCTTAAAATTATTTTCTGTTCATACTCAAACAATTGACATCAGGTGCACACACATGCACGTGTAGAGCCTATATGCTAAGATACATGGTCATTTTATACATGTAGTCCAAATATGTTGTGTTTATTGCTTTTGAATGCTCTCCAGGGATCGAGTTGGAGTTACACCTATCTCTTTAATGTGCTGTGTTTGAGTTCTTAATTGTAAGGTAGTACTTGAATTTCTTTCTCATTTTATAAATTGGTTCACACCTATCCAAAACATAAACGTGGCTCATAATATTGACCAATATTTATGGAATTTGACATTTCTTCTAATAAGGCCTGTTTTGTTGTTTGTTTGTTTTCCAATTTTTCCTTCTTGCCCTTTTCTTCCTCTTTTCCTTTAAAGAGAACGTAAATATAATGATGCATGAAATTCAATTAAGTGGCAAAACCTGCAAACTAAATTCTTTTGAGTCAGGCCAATAATTCATTTATTTTCTTTGGTATTTCAACTCTGAAAGTGGCTGTAATTGGATGCCTACAAAAGAGAATTAGTAAAAGGGCAACTCACAGTTTTCTAAAAGCTTTCTCAGATTCCATCTATTTATTTCAAGTTCGCCATGTTCTTAATATTCTCCACTGATTACCACTTCTCTGAATACACATTTGAATATACATTCTGAATGCTACATTTGTCATTTTTTTAGCAACTGCTACATGTGTGACAAAAGAGTACCAGATTTAGTTTGAAATGCTAAAAATATTTTACAAGTGGATTGTATATTTAACCCTTACCTGTATGAAGTCTCAACTTCTTTTTCTCAAGAGCAACTAGAGAATAGCTAGCATTTTGAAAAGTCTAGTACTACCTAGGTAATCAGTGTGCTTCTGAAAAGCAGACAGATTTAGAGATTACGGTAAAGTATTCTTAGGCAATCAATAACAGAGATGTATTCTGGTGAAATGGTTTCGAAATTTTGTAAATGTATTAATGCATTAGTGCAACTTACTGATTCAGTTTCTAGCTTTTTTTCTTTTTTTTGCTTTTTTAGATGCCTTAAGCACAACTTCATCCACCCATTTAGAAATATTTTAATAATGTATATATGGAGTTGCCAGTGCACTAAGAAAATAGTGCATATTCAACTAGATGAGCCATAATGTAATTATATCATTTACTTAGTCATTTTTTTTTGTTCCTTTGTGTCCCTTTATCTTTACTCTTTTACTTTTCATATTATAAATTATAAACATTTTTAGTCTTCTTCCTATTAATATACTGGACCACGTTGAAGAGTGGGATGTAACGTGTTGATAAATTTATGAAAATAAGAGGGAAAAAGTGTGAGACTGCCTGGGGAAACCTAAAAAGACTGAAAAAGGAGCTTAGATTAGCGCAGTATGCATATTAATGAATGAGAAGAAGGTACTAGTTTATATTATTCCAATGCTTTTAATCCATTTTTGAAGTTTTTCCCTAGTGAGGAGGCTTAACTTAAAACGCAGAAATGCTCTTTAATTTCTTGGGCTCAAAGAGAAAGCAATTAACATCAGTAGCCAAGTAAGTCCATTTATTTTGAGAGTGTAGGCAGAAGTATAGGTTTTTATGCTGAACCTGGGAGTGAAAATACACTGTCCATTGTCCTTTGTCACTGCAGATCACATCTTTTGAAAATAGTTAGTAGGAAACCGTTTTCTTTTTGTAAACTAAGAAATAAATAAAATATTTATTTATATGAAAAATATGAAAAAGCAAGATAATTTCATTCAAACAAACAAGCACAAATCCCTCACATCAAAATGCTCAGTCTTCTCTCTTATTGTTATGAAGTAATGACTTCCATTATAATCAGCACTATTGCCATAGTTATTGTCTAGGCTGAGTATGAGTGGAAAGATTGTGATCCTGATCTAAGTTAATTACTGATAAGTGTTAGCTTTAAAATACTGAATTCTAACCCTACAATATCAGGACTCTACATTTAAATTAAAAACATAGCTCTTCATACTAGGACATAAGCAGTGGAATGTGTTTTCTTTTAATCTTTTTGATATTTTCAATCTATTTCAGAATCTCACTGATGAAATGTTAGTTTGTGGTTAGACTTTTTTGTCCTCTATCAACAAAATTTAAACTCAGTTAGAAATGGGGAAAACAATCTTAAATCATTCTTTTTTTTTCTTTTTTTCACATTTATTTAGGTACCTATCCTATAGAATATTCCAGCCAGAAGGTTTTGCTGACTTGAACTGAGGAAGATCAGAAGCCATTTTGTTCACATGAAGGTTAAGCAAACAGCAAATCAGACAGATTTTTATATTCTGTGATCCATGGAGTCATCCGATAAAGAAGCAAAAAATAATATAACTTGAGATATAAGTCATCTCATAAGGAAGCAGAAATAATAGTTATAGAATAGCAGTTGACTATCTAGCTTTAATTAATCAGCAGTTAGTTTAGCCATTTACCATGTAATATCTCATGTATTCACTTTTAGCAGTAACACTAACTCAAAATCAAGGTTAGATGTGCACTACTCTCCAATGCTTTCCTGTGTACAATAGATTTCTGTATTTTTTTCATCCTAGTCATATCATTACAGAGACTGTTAGAATTAGTGAGTTGTAATATTTACAAGAGATAAATTTTGTCTAAAGAGTTTGAAAAGTCATGCTCAGTAATTGCAAAGACATCAATATTTGTTTCAGAATAATTTGCATAAATGAGATAAAATTGAATTTATTAAAATGTTAACTATAACATAAAGTTTCTGCACTCTTCAGGTATTATCTGGACAAGATTATTGATAGTCTTAGAGCTACTATCAAGGGCAGTATGCAGATAGATTAAAGTTAACCCTATTCTCTACAGCAGCCATTCCTTTCCTTCAAGCTTAATGCATATTGGAGGATTTAGTGGGTTTGCAGAGTAACTACCTTTTCATTAATTCTGGTGATGCCCTTCATAGAATCACAGAAACATAGCATTGTAAAATCCTTAAGGGTGGAAAAGATATCTAAGATCATCTAGTCCAACCACAAAACCATCAACCATGTCCCTCAGTGCCACATCTGCACTTTTCTCCTTTTGTGTTGTGCAACATCTCCAATTTTGGATGATTTCTATTTTTTTTTACTTCATAATTTACCACCTGTGTCATTTCTGAAGTTAAAGAATTTCATCCTACGAAATAGTCCTTCTGTGACATCTTTTAAAATACATTCATTAGGTCAAGCCATAAAATTGCTTTCTGAGGCATTTCTTGTGATAAGACTCTGACTTATCTAGGGGATGAGAGGTGGGTGTTGCTGTGTGGCAGTTCACATCACTGTGTGGACAATTTTACATTTGAAAGCATTTCTTTGGAGCTGTTTGCCTGCAGAAGAGAGTGCTCAGGATTATTTACTGGCAGAAGATCTGGCCTATGAGCAAATAACTCCATCTTGGTATGTGAAAATTGAGGAACAATACCATCATGTCCTGGGAAAAACAGATGCAGGTGGGCACCTCCCTGCTCCCTCTTAGGTGCTGGCAAGGCCCAGAAGATGGGAACAGAGTTTCTGCTGAGATTCCAAAACCAGAAACTGCTGTTCCAAAAAGAGCTGACTCAACCACTTTGGATTTGAGCTGTCACTCCAAAGAGATCTGACTCAACCACTCTGGACTTATAAATAAGTTTGTACTACCATTGGAAAGTTGATATCGTCAACGGAACAATGCCTGACGACCCAACACTACTGAATATCAAGGTCTGAACTATGAGCCACACTGGACACGATTGTGACTATCTCCCTCTTGCTTCCTACAAAGACTCCTTGCTTTTATTTCCTATCTTTTCTATCACCTATCTTCCCTTCCTCATCTCTGAAAATGACTAGGATTTGTAATAAACTGGTGAAGCTAATATTTGACCTGTTGTGTCTCAATCTCACCGTCAGGTATACATATATTAAGAGCCTCCTCTCCTTCCTATAAATTGGAGCAAGACACTTGGTAAAAGCTAGCACATTCACAGAAAAGAGGTTTAGGCCAGGAATGATAGATTATGATAGATTGGTCAGGTTTTGGGCTTTGTTGATGGTAGTTATTTTGTTTGTTTTTTTCCCCAGTATACTTTGTAAGTTGATATGTCTGGTTTTGAGTGTCATAATGGATTCAAACTGTCTTTGGTAGCAAGTTCAGCTTCAGTGTGTATATGTATACATATATATATATATGTGTAGTTCAAAATGGTATGTTGGTATAGCAAATTGTTAAATATATCTTGTGAAATAAAATGTTTCCGTTTGAATGATGTTTTTCTTCTGTTTCTATGCTCAGAGAAAAAAAAAAATCATTGGAGACTGGCCCAAAATTCAATCAATTATTAATGCACTGTAGGCAAAAGTACATTGTTAGAGCTGTATTACTAGAAACATATGCTTTTTTACTACACTTGGAGAATGGGAATATGTTTTCAAAGGGAGAATACTAAATTTTAGATTTTTAATCCAGAGTTTGTCACATTAGTATGAGTTTCTATTCTTAAAGATATTGAATGTTAACAGTTTATTGTTTGTATTTTTACAATTGCAGAAGTTACTTTGCTTTATAGGTTTTCTGTTTATCTTCAAAACACTGCAGTGTATCTGTGCAAACATGAGGCAAGTTTACAGCTAGATTACCCTCAGAATGCCATTCCTATTTTATTGCCATGGAATTATGATTTTTTTATTATAAAAAAACATATTCTTATTGCTGTTGTAAATGGAATTATATAAATAGTTTTCCATGATAATTTATTGCAATAAAAATATATCTTTTATCTTCTCAATATTTTGGAATTTATGTTTGAGGAAATAAGATTTTAATAAATAATAATAATAATGTAACAGATTGCCGTCTTAGTGAACTTATGGTTCCTAGATTCAGCTTCTACCTTCTTCACTGGCACTGTATAGTTTTGGCAAGTTTTGCAGATAACTCACTCTTCTTGCTAAAGTATCAGACAGTGTAGTATCCCATGTTATATAGTGGTGTGAATCTAGTCATGCACAGGGTATAAACAGCCTTTGTCATGCAACAGCCACTAGTAGGGCCCAATATTTGATACAAAGACATGACACAATGAAGGCTGCTATGGCTTTTTCCATGTCTTTATGGCATACTTTTGCAGGCACTGCAAATGAATGGAGTCAAGGATGAAGTGAACAGCTGCATTTGCATCTTTGCATCAAGCAAGCTGCAGAGCAGCTCTGACATGGGCAGCAGAGATGCACGCCTCATCTCAGGGACCAAACTTTACAATGGGCTCTGTTCCCTAGTTTGTGCAAGAGTGCAAGTCTTCAATTGTGAAACAAGAACGTTACACTGTTATAGCACTGGGAAGATGATAACCCTTGTTATATAGTGCCGGGAAGATGAAATATTACCATAGTTAAAAACCAGTTTCGAATGACATTTTATGCATTTTTCTGCCTTCTCTTGTTCATTTCTAGTATAAGGAACAAGAAGCTACTGTTTGTCTGAATTTAAATTAATGTAATAGTAAGTTGTCAAAACACACTGGAGGTATTTAAATATAGGCCTTTTCATTATTAAGTGCACACACCCACTGCAACTGCTTTGAGAAGCTTCTGATAAGCTGTAGTAGCTTAATACTGGAAGTATGATTTAAAGCATGACAGGTCTAACATGTTCATAACGCTGAAGGGAAAGATTGTTTTGATGGCTGAGCTTAAAACATAGCACAATAATAATTATTCTGCCAATAACCCAGGGAAAATCAGTTCTGTCTTTCTTTGGACCAAGTAGTCTGCAAACAAAAGGCTGAGTCTAACTGTGATACTGCAGAGACATTTAGTTACACTCAAGCTTTTGATAAGCCAGCTGAGGTCCTTGCAAGCATATAGCTCTGTTAAAATAACTCTTTCTAGAGTATTTTCTGCTGCAGAGAATCAGGGTGTATCAGCCTGGATATATCCTGGTCACCACTTCCAATATCTCATTTCATTTCGTTTCATCTCAAATATGACAAATAAACATCCAGCTACCCAACTCCAAAAGAAAATAGGACTTATACTGAGCTAAATATTCAGCTGGACCAAAGAAGAAAATCAGACCATCAGACCTTGCCTGTTCCAAGCTTTGATTTATTGACTAAGACATACAGGTAACTAAAACAACATAAACATTGCCTATAAAATTAAAATGACCAGACAAAACATTATTCGTAACTGTATATATGAATATATAACCAAACATAAACAGTATCTACTATGTGAATAGAATACATTCTTCTACACATTATCTGATCTTGGGGTACCAGTCTCTCCTTCCACTTATGGACTTTGTTGAAATACATTGCAAAGAATATAAACCCACTGCTTTGCCCTCAATGTGTTATCTGACTTAACTACCATCCAGATATATGTGGGTTTTTCTGAAAGTAATGCCTCCTATTTATTTCCCTGCAAACTACAACAGATACAAAGAATGCAATAATACTACTAGACAGAGAAAATTCTCAGCTACAAAACACTGTTTTTCAGCTTGGTCACCATCATTAGCCAATCCAAATGGATTAGCTGATTGAGACACTCTCCATTTCACAGTGTGACAGCTACACTTAACCATCTCATATGTGACTTATCCTTCACGTTGCTGTCTTCACTGCTGAAACACGTAACTCACTATATCACTGTGCTCACATCCACTGTTTGCTCTCCATAAATGTTCTGCAAGATTCAGTAAGCATCAGTGTGTGCAGTCTTTTTCACATGGAAGCATTTAGTTCCACATCTTTGCTTCAAATGCTCTTCCATGTCAAACACCAGTTTTGTCAGACTGTCCCTCTGTTGCCATTTCTCACACAGCATTTACTGAAATACTGGTGGGTAAAATCGGACTTCCTCCCAGAACTTATATTTTCACATATTTTACACCATTTTTAAGAAGACTGTGACATAATGCTTTTGCACTTTCTGTACTTGCACGGTAAAACAGAGAAAAAAACACTCCTAACAACTTGCTTTCTAAAATGCAAGGTAAGCTGTAAAATTTTCATGATCATTTCACTCTGCTTGGGTAAAATAGAAAGTAAATAAATGCTGGTGCTGGATGTCATATCAAAATCTAAGGGAAGAAAGAAAAATAGATGAAGTAGGTGTGTATTATTACCATATTGTCCCTCTCTCTACAAATATCTAGTGTGCTCACTATTTAAAATAGATTCGCACAATTTATGAAAATAATGTTCAGACAGCTAGTTAAATACTGTTCATTTAGATAGTCCAACTTCCTTATATGTCATAGATTGTTTTACTACCAGGCTTGAGATGCTTGGGTCCATTTGGCCAATAGAAAACATTACACTTAAAAATGGTTCGAAAGATATTATTTTCCTTAAATTCAATTCCTGAACTGGATTCATAGCACTTAAGTACAATGAGATGCATTCAGTAAGAAATTCATAAGCACTACAGATCTACATTAGAGAAGTACTTTTCTACCACGCAATTTTAACTTCATAACTTATGTTCATCTCTCTCCATAAATGTATTTCCTTGTTGAAATATATTTACAGGAAAATGCTTCTAAGAGTTATGAAGCTGGTACATACACTGATTCATTCGCGAGTACTGGGAAAGAAAATAGGATGCATGTATGCAAATAATATGTGGAGTCTTCTACTGATGAGACTATGCTGGAATGCAGTTAAGTGCTAAGCAGTTATCCTCTCCTAAAAGGACCATGTCCTATGACTTTATCCAAATAGCATAGTGGCTATCCTTTTTGTCCCTTGGAAGACTCCTACATCATTTTTATTCAGGCAGACATATTTTAATTTGGATACATTCCAGAAAAGCAATTAAAGAACTGCATAACTTTTGGTGTATTTTAATTTGTTCTTCAAAGCAACACTTGCTGATGTGGACTAATTAGCTTTTATGTGCCAGCAAGAGCACAGAACAGAATGACAGATGGTAAACCAGAAAAAATCTTGTAGCTAAATACCCACTGCCATTGTTAACCTAGAGAGTGACAGCTTTGGTGTTTTTTTGTTTGGAATGTGAGAATTTTCTTCCAGCTATAGTTAAGTGCTCAAAATATGATGAACTGTCTGTAGAATGGCATATATGAATGTGAAAAAATCCAACTGACATATCAATGAGGTAGTTACGAGGAATGCTGAAAGTTTCAGTAAGGCAAGACAAGATTTCTGACATCACTGTGCAATGTCTATCTTCTTAATCAGTTAATCAGATTAAATTTGAGGGGAGACAGTTCAGCTGCTTAATTAAAAGTGAAGGTCAAAAAACTTTTGTTAATGTTTCTGCTCAATACTTCCATGGATCTTCTGTAAATATACCAAGATTCATATCAACTAAGAAAAACGTCCTTTAGAACTCTGCTGAACAATCAAGCTCTTAGTACCAGGAACACCAAAGGAAAAATGCATTTTAAATTCATGTGCCTCCATAGAAATAGTTTAATGCAACTGCACATGCTCTAATTGAAGATTTCTGAAGAGTTAAGGGAATACTACTCTAAGAAAAAAAATTCATTTTCATTTTAAAAATACTATTTTGTGATGATGCTTTAATTATATTTTAGTTCACAGATTATATCATATAAGTAATTGGAAAATATTGATTTATTAATATTTTCAGAAAAAAAGTACATTAAAATCTAGGATAGAGAAGTGAGAAAGAGGAAGGTAACACTCATCTTACATTCAGATCATCAGAGTTACATTCCAAACTCAGAGATTTGGTGCTGAAACACACAATCAAATTTGAGATGCTAGAACAGTCTGACAGAACTTTCCAGTAGTTCTGATCATAAAATGTTTTTTAATGGTGAAGCTTTTTCCCCTTGCAAAGGCAAATATTTCAGAGGGCATTGCAATGAATCCATTAGTATTAATCTGTGATGTGACACCACTGTTGTTATTATTATTATTGAATATTTGATGTGTTGGGAATTTTTTTTGAACAGCTCTTTTTTCCCAAATCTTCCCTACCTCAACTTCCAAAACAAAAAAATTCTCCTTAGAGAAGTAACTTGTACACAACAAGTTAAGTACGTGAACTGTTTGTCATTGTTGAGGTAAAAAATTCCAGTGTCAAAAAGGATTCTAGTATATATCTGAAATAAAAAATTAACCTTGCTACATCAAGCTTTATTTATTCAGTTTTGAGGAAGAGAATGAGACAACAGCTTGATTTCCTGGTATTATTCTGTGCATTTGTTGAAAGAAGAAGCAAGAACAACAGCAGCTACAAACCTGTGCCATTAATTTCAGTTGTT